TTTAGTCCATGATGTTAATAAAATGACAGGGTAATGACAAAAGTTCAACAAGGAACTTGTCTAGATCATCCCCAGTAAAAAACAAAAACAGTTTGAACAGTAGGAAAAAAAATGGCACAGTAAATAGAATATGGCTTAGTATGTACTATTAACTACTCTAAGAAACAAGATGTTTCTTTAATGCACGTTTAAAAGCTCGAGCACTAAAGGCAGCAATCACTTATTTAGTGATAGAGCGCTGTGATTATCTCATTTTGTCAAGAAATATGTTCTTAACAAGATGAGACATGTCAGATGCTCTAAAACTCTTAGTTGAGGAGATATTACGAAGATATTCTACACTACTCTATGCTAGAAGGATTTCTTGTTTTTAGACAACATACGTTTCCGTTTAGCTGATATATCTTCGTAATCAAGAATTGTAGAGAGAACTGACACATTTCTTCACCAAATGAGACAATCACACGTTGCGGGCGCCCTTTCTTTGCGATAGATATAAAAGCACAGCAATAGCGCAATAAGTCTCAGTATCACATCACGTCTTTGCCTAAGTTGTGTAGGATGGACGTTCAGTAAATCTATTCATATGGCTCCACTAGAAAAGCATTCTGTAATAACGCCCATTTAAGATTTATGATGTACTTTTCCTTTTGTAGATGTTAATATCGTTTAAATGGTTTGGAATATTATTGTACCCATAGTAGCAAGATATGCAGCAGTAATTACGCTACCAGTCGCATTAGGTAGGAGAAGCACACATTTACTGTTTTTGAGAAATTTTCTCAAAAAAACGAATCATATTGTCAATTCTGATGGGTAGGGCAGAAGAAACCGACCTCTCAATATTTTGAAGTTTGCCCGCGATCCTCAGGTTCAAAAATTCAGCATTTAATTCTCTACAAAATGTTCTACAGAAGATGATTCTGAGGCTCGGCATACCATCAGAAATCAAAAGGCCCCAAAACTTTCAAAAAATTAATTTTTTTCCGACGATTTTTTGGAATTTTGAAATCCATGTCCAAAGTGACAGAAAAAAGATATCAGGTTGTTTTGGGCACGTTTAGAAGTCTTCTATCAGTGGGGACAAAGCTCACTTCATCTCCGTTCACTCAAAGTGATAAAAATGTTTAGTTAATAATTGGTAGACGAAAATGAACAATATAGGGGGGTAAAAGGGAATTAAATGCTAAATCTTTTGCAAAAGACAGCTAAATTTTTGAACCTGAGAATCGCAGGCGAACTTCAAAATACTGAGAGATCGGTTTCTTCTAACGAAGCCCTACCCGTTGTGTTCGACACAATTACTCGCCTAATTCTTCACACAGAATGAGAGATATGGAGTTATAAAAATAGTGTGTTCAGTGAATTTTGTGTTGCGAGAGTAAGATAATATTTAGCATAGAGGTTAATATGAAGCTCAAAACATACAATACAATGGTATAAGAATAAAAAACGCTTCCTAGCATAATTTTTGTTATTTTTAGTTCTTGGAAGTATTGGCTATATGATTGAACGACATTATCGTGGCGTACCTACTACTCCTTACCGTCAACAAAGCATTAATGATGAAAGAGAAGAACGTTTATTAAATACACGAGTACCAACAGTAAATGATATGAGTCAAATTGTACCAAAGACTATATTTGGAAAAAACGATCCGGATATTTTAAGAAAGAAACAAAAGTTATTAGAAAATACAAACTAAATTAATCTTTCCTTTTTTTTCTACTTATAGCCATTTTTTATGATAACGAAAAATAAATACTGAGTTTTTCATTTACTTGAATTTTCTAATTGTTTTTGTGGACATCCAGATATGCAGGCAAAGTAGTTTTAGAAAAAAAAGTGTTAACAATGTCATTGACAAATCGATTAATATTTTTGATAGAAAAAATTAACAATGATGAGTGATTAAAAGAAAGAAAATTTTTTGTAAGAGAAATTTTTTTGTAGAGATTTCAGACTCTTTTTACAAACAAATTTCAGACTCTTTTTTTGGCCTACTAAGAAAATTAGCAAAAAACTAGAAGATTAATCATCACAAATCGAAAATATCAGAGAGACACTTTCTGCTTTGAACAAAATAGGCAATAAGTAAATTAGGCTTTATTAATTAACTAACCTTGTCTTACTAGATTTTTTTGTCAAGTTCTCTATGTCAACAAATAAAATAAAATATCTTTGATCAACAAACGTGGCTTCACCACATAACCCTGCTACTGCTATGTAATATTCCGTCATGTTTTTCTTGTATTTTGCTTTCTCTATAATTTTTGAACAAGGACACATTCAAAGCAACGTCTTAAATTAAAATAAAATCGTGCTGAACATTTTGAGGCACTCACACACTTTTCAAAAAGTAGTGATTTGTATTTTTGTCTTCTTTCCCATACAAAAGAACGTGTAGAGTGCGTGAACACCTTAAAATGTTTAACATACGTTTGTCCTCAATTTTAGAACTCTGAATTAATGATAATTAACAATAGTTCAGAGCAAATAGGCTTAACAGAAACTATTTCTTTTTTGTTACTTTTTTCTCTTATGAACAACTTTTTTGACATAGACGAACGTTTCTTGCAAAAAACTCGCTAATAGTCAACCTGAATATAAACAGCTCAAACGCGAGCCTCGTCGTGGTAATCAACCTGGAAGATCGTGATTGGGTTGCCACGTAGAACACTAACTCTGAATATGTCATTATTCGAACACTAAGTGGAAAAACATTAATCGGAATTATATTACAATAGCAGTTACGAGGCTAACCCGAAAAGAAAATTAACTTTTTGGAAGTGATGACAGTTGCAAGTAAGGAAATGAGAGAAAATTGGAACATATTGCAACTGTTACTTTTACCTTACCCATTGGAACTTTTCGAAATAATTAGAAATTAATGCAAATTAATTTTAAAAAGTCTCATATTAAATTAGTGCACATTCATTTTTTTCTGTTTACAAATTAATTTAAATTGATAAATTAATTCACATCAATTGAATTTTAACCAATTCGACTTAATTTATCAAGTTAAATTAATTTGTAAACAGAAAAAAATGAATGTACACTCATTTAAAATGAGACTTTTAATCAATATATACTTTGAAAGCATGAAATGTTTTGAAGATAAATTTCATTCTGAATACGTTTTTGATCAGCAAACAAGAAAATTTGTAAGTATCCTACTGTTATAATTTCTCACGCATCATGAGCGTATGTGAATAAAAATAGCTCTGTTCATCATGTAGTAGATATTGCATGTATTATGAAAAAAGATAAATATTCTTTAATTTGTTATCAGCTTATTTTCACAGGACGCGTTTTTTCTTAGAAATATGATTTGAGAGAAAGCTTATTAGAGTAGCAAATCCCAATACCTTTGAAATATGGGCTTTATATGTGAAGATGCACAGATTGCATCCATATGCTTTCTGTCCTAAGTTATTCCACACCTACAACTGACATAAAATTTCTCATACGTAACAAAACTTTTATTCTCCTTATCGTTCGCTAGACGCTGTAATAATAACTCGTTAGTTTGACGCTAATGTTAATACTATTATTCTTGTTAGAAAAATAAATTGTTTCAACTGATCGTTGTCTGATCATTGTACTGTCGTTTCAGAGATGCCAGAAAGCAAATACAACGCGTACTGGGATCCAGGGGTCGAAATACTTTCATAATACCTCTTACATAACACTTGCATACATAATACGCCGAGTGAAGTTATTCGAGTTACACGAATTATGAGAATGGTGAGACTTTTGAGGTTGAATTCGAGAACTGTCACAACCTGACCATAGTCTCAACCACGTCCTTGTTTCCACCTTCCTTGTTGAATGAGTGAACCGGATACGAGAATCCAATACTGCTCATAATTCTCATAATTCATAAACACTAGGATAACTTCATCATGCGTATTATGTATTCTGTATTATACATCCAAATGTTATGTATTATGTATTAGGATAGTGTTTCCTGTCGTGGGTCGCATTACAGGTTGAAATTCTCATAATTTTCGATATTAAAAGAAACCGAAAATATGATGATACAAATTGTATGCGAATTATGTCAGCACTCTGTCATTTATATTTGTTTCAGTTAACATCACATTGATTATCGTTTCTTGATTATAATCTGTGATGCAATACTAAGTGTAAATAATACGTTATAGAGAGGGTAACTCTTTATTATCATTATGTGGATACTTTCGTATTTTATGTGAGATAATTTAAGCGCTACGACGTAGATTAATATTACTTATTTTCTCTAAATTCGTGTAATTCGTGTGTTCTTTACCTTTAACTGGAAAACATTATTACAAGATAGAGAATAGTCGATAGCCAACCTATGTTTTCGTCCTCTCTGATAGTTATTTGCTACCAGAGTCCCAATCCATCAAGCCCGTTTCGGCCACTCTTAGAAAGGTTATACTTCGACCAAAACTACGAATATATCAATATATATTGATTATCATTTAATTACTCCATATTTATTATTCTGATTACATTATTTTGTTAATTATTATACATAAAAAAAGCAACAATAAAAAGAGTGCTTCTAAAAAAATAAAAAATATACACACGACAATAAAACGAAATAAAAATATAATTTGTCTACAGGCAAGAAAACTTGTAGATCACTTCATATAAATCACTGTAAATAAGAAAACCAAGTATCAATCAGTACACCGTCGAGCATCCATAATTATACATATTTTTCTAATAAGTCGGTCGAGTTTTGTTCTGATTCAATGGATGATGGTTGAAGTTTTGATGTTGTTGGTTGACCGCTCCTGCGAAAGAGAAGAACAAGCCGTTAAAACAAGAAAATGTTCTTTTTTTGGTATAGTTCTAAAATGGCAAAGAAATTATTACTGTTGGTTTGAAGAAGGATCATTTACAGTCTTCATGCAGCAATAGTCTTCTCTGAATACATAAAGTTTGTTTTTATATTCTTCGGGACGAGGTCTAAAAGAAAAATAACAGAACACAATTTTCATTTTTCCTTTCATAGGATCATCTTTTGTATACCTGCTGGTTAAATGTTTTTTTGGTGTCGATTGTTTAATATCATTTTCATCTTTTATACCAAGATCCAGCACATCTTCGTCATCGTCATGAGTGACTCGTTTTCGAACAATAAGTGGTTCATGAGTTTTACGTTCAGGTGTCTAAAATCAACAGAAAGGTATTCTTGAGTGAATTCATCTGTTGACAGAAATGTTCAGTCTCATCTTTGTTGGATTAGGAAAATTTATCAGAGATATTGTCAAGAATCTAAACAAATTTTTTGTTTGTAATGTCTTTTACAACTACTTACGGGTGGTTGAACATCCATCTCATCGTCGTCTTCATCTATCTCTGATTTAGTTTTATAATGACCTTTTTTTGTTTCTTTTAAAGTATCTGATCCTCTTCCATCATTCGAATGATCATCACTGAAACAACGACTATTTGCATTTTCACCGTCAGAATGAACTAAATAAATCAACGAGAATATGAGATGACAATACATTTTATTATAGAAGAGATTGCCTTGTCGTTTTGAACCTTCTGATTGCTAGGCAACATTCATCAAAGTTTTATTATTATTCCACTACTTGTATCTACTTATTTTCTCAATTTTTCAGTAATTTTCCCAGGGTATAACTGTAGCGCTACCGTGCAGTGATGTAGCCAATGCTAATAGTTCGGAATCTCCTATTGCTTTTCTTTTCGTGATGCTAGAACACTGCCGTAATCTTTTTTACTAAATATTTTAGCCGTCACATTGTAGAAATGATTTTATTGAGTGGAGAAATATCTACTAAAAGAGTATTGGAACTACTCTCTTGCACCTTTACAACGTTCTCGTACTTTCAATCCAGTTATTATTATTTTTCTCGATGTCAGTGCATTAGTTCTCTTTTCTCGAAAACCATGCCAGATGAACAGACAATATCAACTTAGACGAGTACAATTCGTGCTGAAGTAGTGAATATTTTCCCACTTTTTCGATCATTTTCTAACGTGTTATAGAGAAAATACAAAAGTTTGACCTTACAGAAATGTTTCTGATAGCAGCGTATAATGCAAATAAAATATCTCATTTAATGTAAGCTAATTCATGATTTTAATTGATAGAACTAGACGTCATCTGTCCATATTGGATTTAGAAGAAAGATATAAAAATTGTTATGCTTTGGTACTGCCCTTGCGCTTTTGCAATATTTGCACCAGCGTAATTGCGTTCAAGTTTCCTTTCTTTTTCAATGATTACCGTAATTTTGACTGTTACCATTTGCTTGATATTCAGTTAATTCTGCTTTTAACTGTCGAAGTTGTTCTTTTTTTTCGTCTAGTACTAAAACAAACTAAAAAAACGAAAGAGTGTTACAGTTACACTAGTAGTTAGAAGGATGTTTGAGATAACAAATGATAAAGGACAATATAACAAATTTTAGATAGGAGAAGTATAATCTTTTAGAAGAGGAGTCTTGTTGCTAATTAACATCTAGACTAATTTAAATTACAAGTCTTTTTTCTTTCCACCGTTTAAAGTGATGTTAGATGTCCCTATACTCTCTAAAAAACAAAAGATATTTTAAAATATGGAAAATGGTATAACCATTTGAACTATATCATAACTGTTTAAACACTTTTTATTCTTATCAGAAAACCCTTTTGGCGTTTTTAGAATACGAAAAAGCCGTGATTTAAAAAACCCTGAATTACTTTAGTATTTTAAAATACCTGAAAGGTTCTTTTATGACATGAAGAAACCTCAATCATTTTTCAGAACATAATTTAGCCGTAGTTTAGAAAACGAAAATTAGTTTTTTGATAAGAATAAGAAACTTTTAAACAGTTATGATATAGTTCAAATGGTATACCCTTTAAACGTCTTTCACAGGTGGCTATACCATTTTTTGGTTTTTCTCAGTGAAAAATACTTTTTAGGATTTTTTGAAATACCTTTTTTTAGAGTGTAGAGAAAGATGCTTCTCTTATCAAGCACATCTCTCTTTCTCTTCCCATCAGTCATGTTTCTACTCTATTGTTCTATGATCTTTGTACCCCGTCAATTCAATTCCTGCATTAATTAGTTTTGAGGTGCATAACGTGCCATATGATCTTCGTAGAAAACAATGTTTGAAATTTGAACAATAAAGTATATAACAGACATGATCTTTTCCAAAAGTCAACTAGTTTAAGCAGTTGTTGTACTACAAATATACTCGTTTCAATTATATGATTCTTCATAAAGAATATTTTTGTGCTGAAGTGTTTGTATATATTTTCATGTTTATTTTACTATAGTGTAAATAAACATAAAAATATAAATTAACAGTGTTTGGTAATATAACAAACAGATTGAAAGAAAAAAACGAGACACAGTTTTTTCATATAGAGTTGATTAGGGTGAATTTGGAATAAAAACGCGACGCAAATTTCGCTTTTTTAATAACTTTTTTATTTTTTAACATTTTTGAAAACTGATTCGACAGATCTCTCTGGCAGATGATGACCTATC